AGGGTGCTTTAGTAGTGGCTGCTTGTAAGTTAGACCTGGTCAGGTAAAACAGCAGGTCCCTGTACAGGAACAGTCCCGGACAGTAACCTCAGGCCCTGTATTTTTCTCCACATCCTCTGGTCACAGTGCAGCAGCAGGAGGGAAAATATGTCCACAAAACCAGGCACAGTCGAGAAATTTTGCTTTTGCAATGGCACCGGTGGGTTATTTATTTTTATATTTATTTATTTTATTTAAATAAGCTGTATTGAAAACATACATAACAAACAAGGCTATTTAACATTTTGCCAATATGGTGGGGGCACCGCTGGATGTCACGCAAGCTCACATGCACGCACAAGGGGCTGGATTTATGCACATTCAAGGAAATCCTTAAACAATCACACAATACTTAATTTTGGTAGAAAAAGTCTTACGAGCGAGAGTTTGGGAGACGTGTATAAATTGAACTACTTCTGCATAGAAATACTAGGACACATATACACCTAATTTTTTGAACTTTAGGTCATGTCTAAGATGATAAATCGCCGTTGTAAAATTGTAGATAAGTCATAAACAAGGAAAACCGCAATGGGCTCTTTAAGCAGCAGCCCAACCAGCCAGAGAAAACCTTACCTCACAAAATGGATGAATGAAGAAAACTAAGTCCTATCAAAAAAAAAAATGTCTTCACTATGGGCACAAGGAGGCTTCAACAAACATGCTGATAGCCCATATCTTAAGATATTCCATAAAATAAAGGATTTCTCATGAGTTACAGCTGTCATCTGAGAGTTGGATGAGAATTTCCAGACCATGAGACTGAGATGGCTCTCTGTCATTTTGGTAACCTCAGTCAGAAACTGGACATCCTGTCAGAAAAAGAAGTGCAGGTGCTGTGTCCTTACAAGCGTTTCTACATCTTTCATGTATAAATTGTTTATGAAGTTAAAAGTTGACAGAATAAAAAAAAAGAAAACAGACAAAAATATTGAGAAAAATTGAAAGGCAAAGCCTACAGTAGATGATGTCACACGATGACGTCATCTACTAACAGATATTCAGACACTCTCTCTGCAAACCTCTGCACATTTAGATTTAGCTTCCACACCACCTCACAAAACAAAACATATATTGTATATCTTTATTGTTTATTTAACTGTGACAGATGCCATTGTTGGAAACAGTTATTTACTTGTGCCAAGAGTCTTAGAAGTGAAGAAGGGTTGTATGGGAAAAGATTCTTTGTCTGCAGCCTTGTCACCACCTCACTGAGCTGCGAGAGACAGAGGACTACTCGGGTTGACATTTCACAGGACATATGTCCTGACGGAGGTGCCATGTTTGTACATGATGCTTGCTCATTCTGTATTACTGGTAGTGAATGCTGGTCTGGTCTTCTTTCAAGTGGGAAGTTTGGGTCACTCAGCAATGTTGAGTCCGATGACTTGTATTCTTTCTGTCTGATAGATACTTGTGGTGTGCTAGTCTCCTGTTCTATATCCAAGGCACTAAGCTCCATGTTCTCTGGATCAGAGTAGTCAGAACTATCATACTCTACAAGTCGAAGCCCAGCAATGAAACCGATCCTTTCCACTGGTGAAATAACATCTGTAGGCTGGAAACAGGGGCTGAATTCGACTTGTTCTGACTCTCCTTTACATGTCGATACAGCCATATCACCACCACATGAATAAGCGAGTGACTCCTGCCATAAAACAGGACAGTCTGACACACTGATTCTTGCACATGCTGCAGTGAAGCCCTGCCAGTCAGTTCTGAGATACTTGAGGTACTGTGCCAAATACTCCAGAAAACAGGTTTCAGCTGAGATAAGGAAGTCAAGGAGGATGCTGTGGTCAAAGGACACGCTCTGAAGCAGAAGTAGGAAGTGGCAATGAGGGTTGAAGCCAGAGACACAGGCTGCCTCCAACACAGCATCGTCATCCAACCCACAAATTGGTCTGTAGGGAGAGACAAGCAGTTCAGTTAGCTTATTTTGAAACCATGACACCTTCCTCCCCCTGGACTGCAGGAGCTAATTTCACTGATTGGTGTCTCTTCTCTGTGCATATGGACATGGTCAGCAGCAGAGAAGCTTTGCATCTACATGAGCAACTGGAAAGTGGATGAGAGTAGGCGGCTTCAGTAGGGGGACGACATTAAGCTGTAGTGAAGCTAGACTGTTACCACTAGTATATACAGGAAGTCTCAGAGACAGTGTATAGAGTGTTAGCTCAAATTGTCCAAATTTTATCCAATCACCAATATCTGTTGTTTAACAAGTTAACATGGCTTATACAGTCAGGGAAAAAATTATTTGAACCCCAGCTGATTTTGTAAGTTTGCCCACTAACAAAGAAATGATCAGTCTACAATTTCAATGGTAGGTTCATTTGAACAGTGAGAGACACAACAATAACAAAAAAATCCAGAAAAATGCATTACAAAAAATGTTACACATTAATTTGCATTTCCATGAATGAAATAAGTATTTGATCCCCTATCAGTCAGCTAGATCTCTGGCTCCCAGGTGTATTTTATACAGGTAACGAGCTGTTATTGGGAGCCCTCTCAGCTCGTTACCTGTACAAAAGAGACCTGTCCACAGAAGCAATCAATCAATCCAGATTCCAAACTCTTCACCATGGCCAAGACCAAAGAGCTTTCCAAGGATGTCAGGGACAAGATTGTGGACCTACACAAGGCTGGAATGGGCTACAAGACCATCGCCAAGC